CCCTCACTCTCTGGTTCCCAGTTCCCAGCCCTGTGAGGCTCCCAGCTACTCGTTCACCTACATCCTCTAGGACAGTGGTTCTCCACCTTCCTCATGCCGCGACCCTTTCATACAGTTCTTCATGTGGTGGTGACCCCCCCCCAACCATAACATTATGTTCGTTGCGACTCCATCGCCACAATTTTGCTACTGTGTTAATCAGGCGACCGCTGTGAAAGGGTTGTTCGACCCCAAAGGGGGTCTGCTCTGGACTTCCACAGATTCCCCCAGCCCAGCCAAGGAGGCCCTTGGCACTCTCGGTAGCTGAGTCTCCTCTTCCTTCTCCGGCCATGGCCTCCTGCTGGGGATCTGGAGTCCAGCCTGGCCTCAGGGCATGCCACCTCTCACTTTCCTTGCACCTACTGCAGTCAGTGGTCCTGAGGCCCCGAAGCCCCACCCAGTCCCCAGCACCCACTCTGACCACAGCCTCCTCCCAGCCTCCTCCTGGGAAGGCCGAGTGAGGAGGTGAGCCCAGTGGGGTGGGTGGGCAGGACCATGCTCCTGGCGTGGGGAGAGGAAGACCAGTTCTGCATTCCCAACAACCTCTTCCCCACCCCACCTCGTCCCCCCAAGACAGAAGCACCTGGAGGGCAGGGCCGGGTCTGGTTTGTCACCAGGTTCCTGTGCCAAACCTGAACCCTGTCTGCACAGAGCGAAGAGCACCTAGGGGCCCAGGGAGGGGGCTCTGCACCCTCCTGGGTGCAGAGCTGATCAGAGGCCACCTGACTGCAGAAAGGACCAGGTGAACTCAGACAAGGCTGGGTTCCACCCCTGGCTCGGACACAGCCAGGCCCGCATCACTGCTGCTTAACCCTCTCTGGGCTCAGCGTCCTCCTCTGCCTTGCAGGCTCCACGCAGGATTAAATGAGATGCTGTACAGGGAGCCCCCAGCACAGGGTCTGGCAAACAGGAAGCACCAAGCCCGCAGCTGCTGGATGATCATCTAGGGAGGGTGGTGCCTCCCTCCCCTCTGCGGGCACAGCCACACACACACACACCCCTTCAGAGCCTGTTGGGCTTGGGGTTCCATGTTGGGGTGGCCGGAGCAGGGCTCACTGCCAGCCTGAGCAAGAGGCAGGAACCTCCTTCCGTGTGTACATGTCATATGGATGCCGGCTGGTTGCCAAGGAGGCGGTTTCCCCGGCAACAGGCAAGCAAGACTTGGAGGAGGCTGGAGAGACAGGTGGTGCTCAGAGACAGGAGGAGGGAGGGGAGGCAGGAGGGAGGCGCCCAGAGGCAGCCGGGCATGGAAACCCATGTAATCAACCATTTGGCGCTGGGGAGACCCTCACGTCAAGGGCATCAGACGCGGGAATGTTGAGGCAGCCTGGGGACCAGCTCAAGGGGCCTTCTGTGCCAGAAGGAGGGTGCGTCTTGGGAGAGGGGTTCCCTGCCTGCCTCTGTGTAGGAGGAGGGGCAGGGGCGCCTCAAGAAGGAGCCCCCTCTCCTGTAGAGGAAGACTTGTGGGCTTGCCCCCTTTGTGCCTACTGAACACCAGCCCCACCACCCACCCAAGCCTGGCACACAGGGGGTGGGGTGCTCAGGGCGGTGGGTCCACCCTTTGAGGCTGGGCCCCGACCCACACCTCTTCCCAGAGGAAGAGAATGGTCCCTAGGCTGGAGTCTGAGGAGGGAAGGGAGTGGGGCGGGGAGGGGCGGGGCGGGGGGGAGTGGAGAGGGTGGGAAGTTCCGGCGGGCCGCCCTCCCCCACATAGGAACCCAAACAGGCCCAGAGGTGTCTGAGGCCACACAGTCCTTGGTGGCAGGGCCAAGGCTGGGCCAAAGGCCTCCTGCCCCGCTGTTGCTCTTGAGTGTTCCCAGCCCGTGGCCAGGGGAGACGAGGAGAGGCAGCATTCACCCTGCAGGGCTGTGACGCTCTGACTCAGCTGGCCTGGTGGCCTGGCGAGGGGAGAGAGGGTGGAGAGCAGGGAGGCTGTGGGGCTGCTGCTTGTCACCAATTAGCAGCTGCTGAGTGAGGCCGGTGGCAGGTCCTGCCCTGTGGAGCTGCATTTCTCCTCCGGGTGTGACCTGCGTTTTTGGCTGAGACACAAAGTGCAAGCCTTGTCAACAGGACCCCCTTGGAGGCGCTAAGACAGGCCCTCCTGGTGGGAGGGACCCCCTCGTCAGGGGTGAGGATGCAACAAGGTGCCCAGGCCTCCGTGTGGCCTTTCTGTGGGGCTAGGCTGGGGCTGAGGTTGGGCTGGGCCTGGGGCTGAACTGGAGCTGACATGGGCTGGGCTGGAAGGCGGCCAAGGAGCCCTGGTGGTGTAGTGGCTACGCATCAGGCTGCTAACGTGAAGGTTAGCTGTTTGAAACCACCGGCTGCTCTGAGGGAGAAGAGCTTGCTACTCTCGTGAACAGTTTCAGTCTGGGGAACACAGGGCAGTTCCGCCCGGTCCTGTGGTGTTCCTGTGAGTCAGCGTTGATTCAGTGACAGTGAAGCTGCCCCTGGGAGGAAGACGAAGCTGTAAGGACTCGTAGTTACAGAAACTCTAAGAAGCAGTTCTGCACTGTCCTCTGGGATCGATATGAGTCAGAATTGACTTGATGGAAAAGGGAATAGGATGGGCTGGGGATGAGGCTGGGGCTG